TACTGTAAACATGCTGTATTTGTCTACATATCTCCAACAAAGTACAGTAAACATGCTGTATTTGTCTACATATCTCCGACAAACATACTGTAAACAAGCTATATTTGTCTACATAATAGTTCCAACAAAAGTACAGTAAACATGCTGTATTTGTCTACATATCCACAACAAAAGTACTGTAAACATGCTAAATGTCGAAATGTCTCCAATAAAACATACAAAGAACCAACCCATGTTTACCCTTGTCTTTCCATCAGGGAAGTTGGTGGTGAAAAAGTCGTCAGAAAATTGACAAGTAATTCTTCCCAAAACTGAAACTATTGCTAGATCTAGTCAGGTAAAAAGAGAATGTTCTTTTTCTTCTGTTTGTTGCACTCTTTCGGTTTATCATTTCACTTTTTTTCACTTTTATTTTTATTTGGCCGTTTTTTACTTGTGGTTGGTTATTTTCGTTCTCTTGTTCTTTTTTTTTCTTTTCTTTTCTTTCGAGGAGGAGTTATTGTCATTGGCCCGCGACTTACAAATATGACAAAAGGAAGATAACCGGGGAAATCTACTCTCAGTGCGGAGATGTTTGGGCTATTTCCCTTTGTCCAACTTTGTCTCGTGTGTGAGTACGCCGTTGTGTCATGGTTTGTTTGGCGTGAACACGTTCACAACAGTCTGGCAGACAGACAGACAGAAAGGCAGACAGGCAGGTAGACAGACATGCAGGCAGACAGACAGACAGACAGACAGACAGACAGACAGATAGACAGACATAACGCTTACGGACTTTTCAAAATGTTGGTTTATTTCTCGTAACACGTTGTGCATTTCAAAGACATGAATGAAATAAGTGAACATCACAGAGTGCCAACAAACTAGCTTTTGGGAAAAAGTGACCCGTTGAACACAAGGGGAAATAGACAACTTATCATAGATGAGAAGAAAAAAATGTGTCACAACGCGGTGGAATCAGGCGCTCGTCTATTTTGGGACATATGGATCATCTTAAAGGTTGTTCATTTATTGCTTTGGATGAAAAAAACCCATCCATTTATCGAATAGAAGTCGAGATATTGGCGATTGAAAGAGGTCGGTTTGCCTGGTTTCGGAAATAACATTAGCGAGAAAATGGCTGAAAAAGTTTAGTGACTTCCATAGCTCAAAGGTCCTTGGAAACTGCAAATTGACATTTTTTGTGTGCCTTTAATCAACGTTTTTCCAGAACACATAAAAGTGTTTTTGAAGGGACATACAATGTGTTTAGCCAAAATCCAATAATTCGAAAAAAAAATAATTCCAAACTGGCCCGCCAAAAAAATGCTGATTTCTCAGATTTCATTATTTTGACGAGCGCCTGATTTCATCAAGATGCTCCACATATTTGAAAAAACTGGACAAAAGAACTTTCTGTTTTTCCCCAACACAATATGCAACGGTACCGATCCCAACGCAATATGTAGCGGTACCAATCCAGTTGACGTTTTAAATTACAACAAGCAAGTTTCCGTTCCAATTTGGAAAAAGTAGGTCAAAGGTCAGCCCGTCTCTCCTGTGTGACGTCACTGTTACATTGCTCCACCCCCCCCCCCCCCCCCACTTTGGTGCCACAGAGAGTGAAGTCCCCCACTGTGCGTGGTGGGGTAAGGGAGTTATGAGTGCGGGTCTCAACTTGACATTTACCAGAGTAGCCAAAAAACGGTTTGCCACAGTCAGCAGAATATGGTCGCTTTGAAGAACAAGCGGGCTGAGACAGATTTCGGGGGTTTCCAGAAATCTTGACCGCCACCAAAAGGGGGCATTGCCCTACCTATAGGAGAAGTTTGGTTTCTTTGGTGAGTATATATATAATTTGTTTTGTTATGGAGAAAACTCTCCTAGTCTTTTAAAGAAACTGAACAAGGGGCAAAAACTTCACCTTCGATTTTTCACAAAACCCCAATTTTCGGGATAGCCCCTTTGTGCTTATAAGCGAACATACTATATCCTTATTTTTTTATAAAGAAGTGCGAGAACATTCTGTCATATTTATATGATTTCTTAAAAGACAGACATTGAGCGTAAAGAAGTGAACAATTCCACCACCAATAAAACGATAGTCATTCCTTCCTTCTGTCATTCCTGTCTGTCTATCTTGCTTTGTCAGAGCAGTCATGTAGGTGGTTGGCGGATACTCTGGGGTGGTTCGCTTCTTCTTTTCTATCAAACATCTATCCTCCTGATCTCTCCTTCTTCTTTTTTGTGTTTGTTACTATTTTGTAACACCTCTAATCTTCGGCATTTACTTATATGACCGTATTGTGTTGCAAGAGCCGTAAAACTCTTATTAAAACAAGAGTACTCATGGCCGTCCTTGAGCTGTAGACGTGTTATGGAGTTCTCAAAGCTCTCGGCATATTTGCCTCGGGCCTATCGGACAGGACGTTGAATTCAGAGGTCCCGCCTCTTAGATAACCTAATGGTAATGATAGGGGTAGAAAACCCATACATTCACTTACCTTTATATCTCAAAAATCTAATAAGAATATCATTCTGATGGAAAAACAGACAGACAGGCAAATATAAAGACACAGACAAATGCACAGACAAACACACACACAGACCCACACTAAACACACACACACACACACACACAAACAAACACTAACACACACACACACATACCCATACACATATACACATACACAAATACACATGCACACATACACACACACACATACACACACATACACACACATACACATTCACTCATACACACACAAACATACACACACACATACATGCAATATCATACTGTAGTGTAACATACCATATGACATCACACACTTATTCATGCATGCATCAATAATGAATACTCTCTCTCTCTCTCTCTCTCTCTCTCTCTCTCTCTCTCTCTCTCTCTCTCTCTCTCTCTCTCTCTCTCTGTCTCTCTTTTATAAGCTTACTTCCAACAGACCACCATAACCAACATGGCATGAAAAAACAATACACACTGAACAACCACATAACATGCAAACGTTTGAGGTACCTACTCGAAAGATCAAAGCCCATCCAAACAAAATCAGGTACTAAAAAAC